CTGTTCAGTCTGGCTGGTCTTCTTCCCTGCTGGTCCAACTTTCAGCACGTGGTGACAGCCTGGTCCTGCACTTCTAGGATTTCATTCCTGAAGAATTTCCAGTGTTTCCTGGGCTCATTTGCCCATCACAATTGCCTCCCAAGGGACTTTCTCAATCAGGCTTCTAAACAGGCCCAAGTCTGTCCTCCACAAGTTCAAGGCACATGTTCTCCTTGCCACCCTTCCTTATTTCTCCGACAATGAAAAGCTCTGTCATTTTGTGATCACAGTGGCCCAGAGAGCCTCCAACCATCATACCACATCACCCACCAGACCTTCTCTGTTCACAGGTAACAGCTCCAGTACAGTGCCCTCCCTTGCTGACATCCTGACCAGCTGTGTCAGGGCATTATCATCCATACAATCCAGGAACCTCCTGGACTGGTTCCTCTCCACTCTGTTGATTTTCTAGCAGGTATGTGATAGGTTGAAATCCCCCAAAGAACAATGGCCAGTGGTTGTGAGAGCTCCTCCAGCTGCTTCTAGACTATTTCACCTGCCTTTTCTTCCTGGTTTGGTGGTCTATAGCACACACTGACCATGGTGTTTGTTTTTCAAGTAAAAACTTGAAAAGAAGAATGAAAATGAAGAAGAAAATCTACAAAAGAAAGAATTCACTAGCAGTGATTTTGTGATTACCAATACTGGCATATGTGAAGGCAATTTATCTGACATACCTGACAAATTTTTTGCTGTTATATGCTTGAATGTAAAATAAACTTGATTTTTAAAAATAGTGTTGGGTAAATATGTGGAATTAATTATTTATTTGTGAATTCATCTTTCATCAGAATGACTACTGTAGAGTTTAGTAAATTATCATGTGCATCTTTTTTACAAGGACTCTCTTGCTATTAATAGCACACAGGCCACTTGTGTACCTGCAAGAAAACTTCCTTATTATTCCCAGTCCAAAGAAACACTTGTATTTAAAAATGGGTACAATGATCAGCAAAGTTAAATCTTTAGTGTGATGCAGTTTTCTAGGGCTTTATCCAGCAGTTCTGAAGGTAAAGGTTGATCTGTTTGCTCATCCTTAGATTCTTTGCCCGTCTAATGGCAGTTCTGAAAGGAAAACAACAGAGATATTTTTCAATGAGACTTGTGGTACTGGGGTAGAAAACTGTTAAGAAGAAATGTTATGTGCAATTGAATGGAAGGACAAGGAGTGATGGGCTGTTTCTAAATCTCTGAATCTGTGTTTTAAGCTCTATCACTTTTAAACAAATAGCAGATAACAAGATGACAACTTGCAAATGCTGTCTATTTTTAGTCTGGATGCTGTTCAAGTTTGAAAGAGAAGACCAGGTATTTCAGAAGAAAACCATCCTACCTTGTATGTTTAGTATTCTGTAAGAGCTTTTTGTCCTAATTATCTCTATTCCTTGTATGCTGTTGCATTTCAAGCCCCTTTGGCTAGTGAATCTGCAAATAAACAATAGCTTCTATCTGAAGCCAGAGGTTTCTGAATGCCTCACAGACCTGTTTTCATCCCAGCTGTCACACTGTGCAGTTGCCAAAATCTGTTGTGACAAATAACAGCTCTGAAGGTAGATTAACAGACATTTATCATCTTTGTTTGCAACAAGGAAAATGCAAATGTATCTTAGCTTATTGTTTATTTCACTGAATCCCACTCTCCTAATGTTCATCACTTAAATCTCCTTTTTGTTTCACCTTTCTCAAAATTTCACAGAACAAACATGAACTGAGAGTGTACATAAATACATAAATATGCATTCTCTCTTGCCCTGACTACTTCTGATGGGGTTTATTATGTAAGATGAAGAATAACTGAAAAGATCAATATTTATCATTCTTTTTATTGATATTTATGCCAGTCTCCCACATATAAACAATATGTGCCATAGCAAAAGATTCCTGCTCTTTCTTCAGTCCTGCTCTTGCATATATCCCTACATATTTACAAAAAAAGCAAGGCTGAATGCATGCATGCTTTTATTTCACATCAAAAGCTGATATTTATTGACAGCACTTATTGCATGATCTTGGGCCAAGCTCAATGAAGTTTTGCCTCCTGTTGGTGTTAGATTGTGCCTCATTACAGAATGTGTTATTCAAGAGACATATATCACTCCTGATCATCATCCCAGAGGCTTAGACCAGTGAGTTTTTTAATCTTTTTAAAAAATGTTTGGACTCCACACAATTTATCTGTGAAGGTACAAAAACGTACTTAGTTTTTGTGCACACTAACAAGATACATACTTTTTGTGACCCCCTAAGGAAGTAGTGCATGGACCTCTCTGTTGTCTCTGAGTAACATGTTTACATCCACTGCTTTGGTTAGGATAACTGAAGAGAAAACAGAAACAAATAATGATAAGATAAAAACTTCAGCTTGTTTGAATAATTTCTGTTTAGGAAAGTTAAACTCCTTCCCATTTTTAGAATGAATGTTCTTCTCAAGTCAACACAGTTGGGCTTTTCATCTGCACAGGCAGACATATCAAGAGAAGAATATAGTTTCATGTATCAAATTATTTTCTACAGGTTACGATGAACCATATAATTTATAAACACAGTAACAGCAAACAGCCCACTGTATCATACCAATTAATTGCCAACAGACTTAATCATTGTATCCTGTGTGAAAATAGCATTTGCTTTTCTCTTAAAACAAAAGATGTAGTCTTTCTACTGAAAACTAGCAGCAGCTCTGCTTTTACTTTTACTTGAAATTTACTGCTCTGCATTGCACCATGCATTTCACAAAATGTTGGTGGGCAACAGAGAGGCAGTTGCTTTCAAACTTACAGTAAGAAAATGTTGAGAATCAAATTCTCATCCTTCCATATAAGTATGGAAGGGCTCACCTGGAGGCACTGAATTATAAGGGCTTGTACAAGTGCAAGGGAAGATGGAATCTAGCCTCAGTTTGGGTTTTTTTAACTATAAAAATTATATTCTTCCTTGCAGCTGTTGGGTGATTTGGTGATGGGTTTTTTAAACAAGAACTTTTGAGAAGTTATTTCATAAATAGCAATAGCAGCTGAAGGATCTGAAAAATCCTCACAAGAGAGTGATGGAAAAAGTTTGTGATGGAAGTGATGGAAGATTGGAGATACTCTGATCTTCTCTTGCCCAAGTCTTTGAGAGGTAGTTTATGTTTCTGTTAGCAGTGTTCAGTATACCAGATACCATATTAGTTCTATAATGGAAAATAACTGTTGTACCAAGCACAAGTTAAATTTTCTGCAAGTCAGTGAGACAGCAGGATTTCCCCATCGCAAGAAAATGAGTTGTGGTTCTACTCTTGGCCATGCCTCCTCAATTTTTCCTCTGCCCAGGCTTCCAGGGGAAGCTCCAAGGACATTGTCTTTTGTATTTCCACTCATGGGAAGAAATGAGATACAGCCTTTGCTACCTGAGTATATAACAAGAATTCCTAGAAGTGTAAATGTTTGTGTTACCAGCAGAGCCTTTAAGAGCTGGCAGGTTCAGCTGTGCAAAAGATTCATTGTAAAGCTAAATATTGACCAGCAGTATTTCAGAGAAACCAATTCTTCAGGATGTCTTAATTGAACCTTCCAGTACCTGAAGAGATCCTATAATAGAAATGGAGAGAAACATTTTACTAGCATTAAGTGACAGAATAAGGGAATGGCTTCAAATTGAAAGAGACTAGGTTTAGGTTAGATATTAAGAAATTCTTTCCTGTGAAAGTAATGAGGAAAGCTACTGAGGAATGCCATGCCCTCCATGGCTGTGTTGAAGGCCAGGTTGGATGGAGCTGTAAGAAATCTGGTCCTGAGAAGGTTTCCCTGCTCATATGAAGGGGTTAGAATCAGCCGATCTTTCAGGTCCCTTCCAACCTAAAGCATTCTATGATTCTTTCAAGAGCTGTAAAAAGGAAAAGAGAAAACAGAAGTCCCCTATACAAGTGTAACAGCTCAATCCAGCACTTCATCATGGTACATGAAGATATATTAACATAAACTGTATGGCTATGACACTGAATTTTCTTTATGGTGAAATACCATTTCTGTATTCATGTTTCTATTTAAAACTATTTTGAGATTTGCTGTTTGCTTCCAGTCTGGCAGCTCTCAGATGACATTATAAATGCATTTATCTTTAAAATTCACTTGAAAATTCAGACCATGCTTTATATATTGCGTCAAAGTATGTAATCTGAAGGTATTTTCATCATTGGAAAAAATAAAATACACAAACACTTTTCCTGATGTAGATCATTAGACAGATTGGGTACATAGTGAGCAGGTAAAGATAGTAAAAGATGACTTGGAAACCAAGTACCAAAAGTTATACGTATTTTGAGTTACTTTAATTTTTGATATTTCTCAAACCAAGTTGAGTCTTCTGTTTTTTTTTTCCAACTGACCTTCAGATAATGTTTATTTTACCATGAGAAAAAAATGAATATTATATGAATGCATATGCTTTTCATTAAAAATTAAGTAAAAAGCCAGCATGAGCTTAGCAATTCACGCAGTGCAACTGAGTAGAATATATTTTGAATTGTGTATAAAAAAAAAAAATTGACAGTTACTTCATGGTTATCTAAATCATGGGAGGTAAGACTTAGAGAAATACATATTACTCTTTGAGAAAATGATTAATATTTTTCCATTAGAAGCAATGTACTTTGACACTTGTCAGTAGACTGCCATGATTTTGTAATGGTGAAAGTTTTGTGCTGGTCTCTGTGCCAGTGACTGACACATTGACAATTCCCTTGAAACATTGAATTCAGTAAATAGCACATAGAATTTTCAAGGAAGTGTTTAACAAAAATTGCATCCAAACTGATGAAAGTTTTCGCTAGAGTTCCCCAACATATGGTACAATTTGAGAAAAAACACTTGCTGGAGAAGCTGCTTGTATTTGAGGTTTTTGATGACTGCTGCTATGGGCTTGTTCAGACTTTATCTAGCTGTTACTCTCCTGCTTATTCCATGATCTGTATCTCCTTTTAGGATCGGTGGCACTATGCCAACAGTCTTCTCCTATTTTTCGGAAGTGCTTGCTCGGGAGAAACGAGGTGAACACCTCAGCTGGCTCTGTATGTTTTGGATGATTGGTGGCATCTACGCTTCTGCAATGGCTTGGGCAATCATTCCCCATTATGGTAAGAAAAGCCATAGAAGAGGAAAAATCTCCTTGTGATTTGGAGGTTTTCTAGTATGAAAATAAAGATCTTGAAGTATAGCTTGAAGAAGGGTCTTCACGTCTGTTCTCAAACTACTGACACAACTGATAAAAGAAATTGATTCCTTTCAGAGGATATAGTGAGAATAGGTTGTATGTCAAATAAGAAACAGTTTATTACATGGTGCAAAACTTCACCAATATCCATATTTAGTAAGATTCTTTAAATTTCTGCAAACCTGTACACATGAAAATGTAATTGGTGTTATTGTTAAATCTGGAGAAAATGGATCAGAGAAATTTTAAATTGCTGGGATGTCAAATTAGCAGTCCTTTTGATACAGGAAAGATTATCAATTAAACATTTTTGAAAAGAAGAGTAAGAACTTTCCTAAATTTTGCAGGGCTTAAATCTGAAATTAATCATAAAATAAAGCTGTGATGAATGTTTCCTAGTGATATTTTTAGAGGTGTAAAAACAGATAAGTAGAACACAGTACATTTAAATGCTGTAGGGATGTATGAGGGCAATGGCTGAAGCTGTACTCACATGAAATATAAGCTATTTTGTCAAAGAGCTCTTTAATTGCCCTGACATAGTTAAATATAATATGGAGGTACAGATTCAATTCTTTGTCTCCTGGGCTTGCCTTTTAGAAGAGTCAAGTGCTCACAAGTCTCCAGTGTTGCTGAGACTGCTCAGGCGTTCTTAAAAATCAGCTTCTCAAGCAGTTCTCTCTGTCAGGCCTCAAGTGAAGTAAAGGAGCACTGTGAGTTAGATGGCATCCAAAGCAGCTTTCTTTCGCCAAGCAGTGAGGTTTATTGAAGCTATATTGTGAAGGTTTTCCCAAAGTGATGGGAACATTTAGCAAGTGATAGCGTCCAGAAATAAATTATAATAATGCAGACTAATCAAATACCTAGACTGTTGCATTAAAATTAATTTTAGGGTTCAGTACACTCGACCTGAATCTGTGTCTTCAACCTTGCCTTTTGACTTTGAATTGCTAGAAACAAAGAGAGGGATTTGTGCTGACAAGGCACAATATGGATTTTTTTCCCCCCAAGTAGTAAATTGCTCTGGATGCCAAGTACCTTTTTGCTTTCCTATTTTATTTTCTTTATCTTTCAGTGGAAAATGCAAACGTTATGACAGACTGATTTACATAGGTTATCTAATTTCATGTAGATTATATAAACAACTTTATATCCTTTACTGAGGTGCTTTTAGAACCTGGCAGTATATTTTAATACAGTACACTTATACCAAAGCAGTGTAAACAGGAAAAGCATTTCTTCTTTCTTTAGCAGTGGAAGAATATCAGCAACAAAGAGGTACTGCACTGTTTTTTTTATTGTTGTTCTTGTTGTTGCTTTTTTCCACTTTCAAAAATATTTTTTAAATAACATAAGACAAAACAAAGTAAAAAACAATTTCAAAACATAGTATGCTTTAGTGCTAGACATACAAATCACTACTTGCAGTTTATTAAGGTAAGTGATAATGATCAAAAAAGGCAAAAAAATCTAGCTATAAACAGAATCCTTTTTCACAGTGAAAGAGGTAAGTTCATACATAATTTTGGCAAAATTAAACAGAATGCATTTATAGGTTTTGATGAGGTCTTAAAGCTATATTTACTTTTAAATCCGACTTTTTTTTGTTACGTTAGAATTTGAAAACCTAGTCTTAGTTCCTACTACTAATGTGAAATCTCTCCAGTTCAAGCAAACTATTTTGTAGTCATAACGCTGTGCCAAGCTCTCAATGTTGTCAAGGGCTCCCACGGGAAAACCTTGCTCCAGCATTTGGGGAATGATGTCACACATTGCTGTCCTCTCCTAGAAACATTCCAGGTCAAGCAAACGCCCATGTAGGTGTCTACACCATTTGTATCACAAGCGTTTTCAAGCTGTCTCTTATGATATTTTGTCTTTTACAATTTCTGCATGATTTCTACCTTGATTTATTTTGCCAGGATTAAGCAGAGATAGAGATTTTCCTCCAAATCACTTCCTGTACTTCTCATCATTCACATCTTCACGGACCAGGAAGCAAAACATAACTATAGAAAACTCACCCACTTTTAAACTACATTTATATTAGTGCATAGGTATTCTTGTGTTCTCTCCTTCTCGCTTGAGGAGTTGACAGTGTTTGTTTTTCTCAGCTGGACTCAGAAGTTACCCAATAGCAGTGAATGAAGCTCCATCTGTATGAAAAGCAATAAACTGTCATTGAGCACAGTGAAATTATTCTTATATTAGTAGAAAGATACCAAGTCAACACAGTAGAATAATTTTGAATATTCTTCCCTCATTTACCAATTTATTAATTTCATTTGTACTCTTTCTTATACAAGCCACTTTTTAAAAGTCCTAGATTCATAAGTACACACCATCTAGCCCAAGTGAAGCTATGTGTGTTTGTTTGTCCATTGAACATATCTTTGGGGGAGAAAATGAAGATTACTCTCTATATGTAACTGTTTATCTCTGTTGTTGTTCAAGCAGCATAGCAGAGTCTGAAACAAGAGTAATGCCCTGGAACACAAAATAAAGTGTTGATAACTTGTCGTGACATCAGCATGTTGTTAAGTGAGGGATTAGTGTGATGCAGTGTTGCAGTGACCACATATACAAAGGCTAATATCACCTGGAAGAAAAACATTTCTATAGCAAAGCTTTTTGATTTATATATGTGTTGGCCATAGTTTAAAAAGTGGAAGTTTATGTACACTTGTTCAAGTTCCCCTAAACTGGAGCTCAGGCTGTGGAGAAGAAGAAACACCTGCAGAGAAATGCTCCTAATGGCAACTGATTTCAAAAGTCCCAGATTAGACTACTGAAAGGGAGCTCCTCTCTACAGTGTTTATATCAGGCTGGAGGGGAGAAATAAGAACCATTCTGTAAATACTTCTGCAAGTACAATTTTAGTTTTAGCATCCTATTTCAAGGTAGAGTAATTCAAAGATTGTCAAATTCATCAACTGTGTATCATAATAGTCTTTCTAAAAAGTTCCATTTCAAATAATGGGGAATCCTAAGAAAGATAAGTTTTAGTTTAAAATCCAGATATTGTTATCTTACGATTTTTTTAAAACTGAGTTTATTTTTTAGCCTGAGAATAGGAATTGAAAAGAATTATGAAAGTTGTTTTATCGGTTATTAAAAGAGAAAAATATTCTGTGCCGTGATTGCAAAAATCAGTCTCAATTTTTTTGTAATGTATCTCAAAATTAAACATCAAAGAAAGATAGATAAGGATTTCAGTGTCCTTAGCCTATCCGTTTTGATATTATCTCTAATTTTATGTGTTTCACCTGTAAGATTCATACAAGCTTTTTCTGGCTTCATGGACTATAGGGAAATCTTTTGAAATTTGCTACATTAGCCAGAGTATTTTGTTAGTCATAAACAAATATTGACCTTATTGGTTCTTAAATCTTATTCTTGAACAAGAAGAGGAGTTCTTGACCAAAAAGAAATTAGATTGCAAGGTAGAGAACAGGATGATGCAGGTATCCAGGTTGTTACAGCATAAGCTGCAAGTGGAACCTGAAGCTTTTTCCAGACTCTCACACCCCATCTCTGGTATTTACCAGAGAAGAGAGGAGATAGACATGTCAAATGACATTAGTGAACAAGTCTCCATTTTATGGCTAGAGACAGAGACGTTACTTCCATATATATGAAAAAAATTCCAATTAAATTAGGCTCCATTATTCCCTAAAACATTTCAAGGAAATAGGAAAAATACTTCTTTCTAATGCACTCAGTACCAAAATCAGATGTAAGTTTAAACAAATCTTCAGACCAGCGTAATCATATTGCATGACAGATCTTCACCTAAAGTATTCATTTTTCATCAGTAGAGGTTTTGTTTTTTCCTGCTGAATTGAGGACCGCTTACTTGTGTTCATAAGAAAGGTATTTAACATCATTCAGGAAACTTGGAGTAAAAAACTGTGGAATAGAAAGTCTAAGGAAATGGCATTCCATTTCAGAAGTGAAGATTTCTTGCTAGGTGTAATGTTTCTCTCTGGTTGTAAGTGGGAATGTATTAATATGTTCTCTGTTCCAGAAGTTTTCTATTGCATCAGCAAACAACTGTTTTATTCTGTGACTAGAAGTCACAGTTAAATATTATAAACTAGTCGCTAGTCGCAAATGATATTTCTACTTCAGTCATTAGAGTTTTACTAGAGAAAGCCATTTTTTCCTGAATATATGTTTTTTTGAGAGAGTAAGTTCTTTACAGTAACACAGAACTTAAAAATACAGACATAGAAGTGTTCAAATAATGCACTCACTATTGACTTGCAAAGCATTGTATTTAAAATATTAACAATAACTTCTATTTTTAAAAGGTTTATTATGTCTCGTACTGGAAATTTTTGTATTTATTTCCTGGTCTGTAAAACATATTCACTTCTATTCTCTCTGAAGGTTTTTGCTTATTACTTTTCTCCTGTCAATATGATTAAATGAGTTTAAAGGAAGAAACTGGGACTTAATTTAGATAGGATAGAATTTAAGTTTTAAATACAGTTGTTACATAGTACTAACATGAGCTGCCAAATATATTTACAGAATCTTCATTCACTGGATGTTGTCAAGGGCACATGAAACTACAGCCTGTCCTTAATAGTTTAAAACCATGCTAAATTCACTAGACCTACCAATGGAGACCTGTTGACTGTTCTTAATTCTACTTTCCATAATTAGATAAGTCTTTTTGTAGGCACAGAATCCATAACGGTTTCTACCTGAATGCAAATGTGAGGAGAATGGACCAATCTGCTTTTCTTTTGAGTAAAAAGTGGCTTGCAAACTGGCCTGAAAAATATTTCTCAGTTTGTAGCAGAAGATTGTTGCTGTAAAGCAGTTCAATTCAACTGAAGAAATTAATGCTGCTGGCAATGAAAACGATCCTTTTGTCACCCTTGTAGCATGGTGGCTTAAGAACAGTTTTTATTG